TGCAGAACTGCAGTCAGCTGAAGTAGCCTGCAGTGCTGCATTTAACCACTGCGCCACCTTGGCTCATCCTAGATGTGACATTCAACTATAGAAACAAATGGGACCTCTGCTGCTATACCAGTCTCTCTGCCTACTTGAGCTGTTTTACGTTGCAGGACAGCAGTAGAATCTTCTATCTTTGTATGGCTACAGGATTTCAACCCACTTTGCCTGGACATGGAGTCTGAAGCAGATTGGCAATGTATGACCACCACGACAACCATCAGCCTGACCCAAATAATCATTTTGTGCAAATAATGATCACATCTGAGATCTGGTGTTTGTCTCAGAGGTTGTAACATGATCTGTGTATTTAAGATATCAACATCATTCTCTTGATATTTAATTTATTTTGAGCTTTCCAGTGCTGGTCTGCAGTACAGTGCAATAGAACCTCTTTAACTGGTCCTCCCCCGCTCCCAGCCTGATGGATACAACTGGACTTCAGAGTGAGCTTGGGAAATTCCCTAGGCTCCCAAACATATTTTGATGGAGGCCTTCACCATCATGTGGAATGAAAAGGTGGCAATGTCTTTTAAATTAGATTGCACCTATGTAGCCTCTCCCCATATGCAGTTTCTGGGGGCTCCCTGATTTTCAGAAGTGCTCTGGAAGATGACATAAGAAAAAGGATGCCTGAAAAAGAAAGATGTTTGTTACTTTGATGCAGCTTTTCTCTGGAGGACAGTAGCATAACTTGATGTGCCAATCAATATTCCACAAATATATGAGAACAAATCCGGAGTAGGCACCTTTCCAAGAGATTCAGTTTCAAATAACGGATGAAATCTACAGGTGTCATGGTTAAATCTGCAGCAGGCATCGTATTTGGTGTCTCAAGCCATATTTCAGATGGTGGTAGGGATGAAGTTTTCAAAAGTATGCAAAAGTTATGAAATGAAATAAATATGACCCAATAGGGGGATGGAGCCTACAGATTTTGTAATATTTCTGTGCCCAAAGGTGAGTAAAAGCTAAATAGCCTAGGCATCAAAACAAGCTAAACCAGGTTAAGCTCTCTTGTTCTGACCTGGCTCCCAAACATGATAAGCCCTTTGTAGTTAATGAAACGTTCCTTTTATTGGGAGCGCCAGCAGCCGCGCCCTCACAGCAGGCTACGAAGTCTCTAAGTCCTGTGGAAAGTGATGCTCGCTCCAAGTCTGTATTCCAAATTTCTTGTATATTCAAATTTATGTTTTTATTTTATAATTTTTATAATAGTATATTGTCAGTCTACTTAAGTTCTTCTCTAGGCTTTTCAGGGTTTCAAAGGCAGGCAGGAGCAGTGCTACATAAAGCAATGTACATGCCAAGTGCTTTAATTGTATTTCCATCTAGTCTTTCTAGAAAATTGTATTCTGAAAAATAATCTGAAATATTTTAAATGTATCATTACTTGATTAAGTGTAATGATCCCTTTATGAGCAGATATCCCCCACCTCACAAAATATTATCAGCCATCTTTAAATAAGAATTGGCCCATGTTCGTATTTTTCTTTAAAGGAAAATTCAAGTTTAAATGTTCTATTCAAAAAGACTCAAATATGCCTTCATTGCTAAAAATACTGTACAACCAAATTCTAACTACAGTTCGAATCAAGAACTGGCCAAGATGGCAAGGTGCTAAATAATATCCCTCATTTACTGTGAGGTTGGCAGCTAACTCCCAATGGTATTGTTTAAATGGAGGAAAATTAAAAGCATTACCTTTAAAATGACATGACTTTAATAAGGAGATACTGAATAATTTAACTGCTACCGTAATCTGTTTAAAATATTTATGTGAAAGCTATATAAGTATGTATTGCTTTCAAAATACCTATTAGTGTTGCAAAATTCATTTTCACAACATTACTTCTTTCCCATGTTTAAGGATATTTTCATCCATCAAAAAGTAATCTCTTTCATCTGAATGATACTGCTTGCAAGTGTTCTTAACCACTAAATTGGATTTATGATTTTATGTCATTGCAAAAGTTAAAGGAGAATTCAATCATTTTCCAGTTCTTTTTCCTTTTCCTAATACATATGTTTCTTTAAAAAAAAATTATGTCTAAAGCATGGAAGGTTGTTCCAAAAGGTAGGACCCCCAAGTCTAAGAGGAGCCCCAAGTTGTTTGCCAGCTCCGTCCAGCGAAGTATTACCCCATTGAAGGTAGAATACAACACATCACCAGACCTTTGGCAAAACCCCAAAGCTACTCTGTCTTGCTAGGTTTGATTCAGAGCGGCTGAATGGTACTGTCTGCCCAGCCGGGGGTGGAAATCCATGACTGGGGAATCATCAAGATTTCAGGTAATAATGCACCCTGTGCCATTAAATGACCTCACCTAGGGATTTCTTGTGTAAATTAAAGAGGAGTGGTAAGAGGCGATAGACATTTATCTCTCAATATTTTTGAGTTGTAGGAGGAGTAAAATCATTGCAAAACAGTGTCCCGCATTCTCCTGCAAAGCCAGTTCAGAAAGGTATCATGGTCCATGGTATTGAATGTTGCCAAGAAGGAGATCCAGATGGGTTGCACCATCCCCACACCAACCCATCCAGAACCTATCCACATGTAACCACACTTTCTCAGTACTGGAACCTGGCCTGAATCCAGGCTGGAAAGGACCCAGAGAATCTATTTCTTGCAGGAGCCTTTTGAAGCTAAGCACCTACCAGCCTTTCAATAACTTCTCTAGAAACAGATTGAAAACTGGGAGAAATAAGTCTGTCTGATCCAAGGATAGTATCTTGAGAAGGAGTGTATAGCTATATTCTTCAAGGCAACTAGCACTACCTTCTTCCGCAATGAGGCATTAATCATCATTTGGAGCCAATCAAATGTTAACTCCCAGGATGATCCTCAGGATTAACTAATTTAAACTCTTCTCAGATAATTCAGATCTTAGATGTTCTCAGGCACTTCCAAAGAACTTGACCAGCTTGAATCTAATTCCAAGTGAAGTCAAGCCACTTCATCTGATAGATGCCGAGAGTATTTCTCATGGCAGTTCTTCAAAGCGACTCCCTTACCCAGAAGAGACTTGGTAATTGAAGCAGAGCTGTTGGCCAGCTGTCTGCATATGCAGTAAGAGTGGAGATGTAAGCTTAACACAGAGTAAGTTCTAATAAAGATCTACTGATGTCAAAATGACTTCATCCTTCACATATCACCAATGGTGCTCTAGGCATCTCTTGCTTCATCTATTGAAGCTGCTACGTGAACTACAAGATTCACTCTACAGGTGTTATACAGGATTCACGATCACAGAATTCCATAGAGCACAATCTGGTTCATGATCTGTCCATGTTAAGGGATTAATATTAATATCACTCAATCTCAGACCATCACACCACAGCCCCAAGACAAGAACCAGATCTAATGTATGATCTCTGCATTGAGATATTTAACAAGTTGGATAATGTCCATGGTTATTACCACAATGGTCACAAACACCTGATCATCTAAGCCCAGCAGATATTCATGGATGCCAATGGCCACTCCCCATCTCTCACCTGGAATTTTGGCTAGTTCTGTATCTGAAACCAGAAAATACATCTGTAAGTGGGGAACACTCCCTTCAAGTTTCAGTGCTGAAAGTCAGTTCAGTCCTCTCATTCAGGATCAAGTTGTGAATCAGCTTTACTAAATATCAGTCTAGTATTAAGAAGCAGTAACCAGAGTCTGAAGCTACCAAAGAGCAAGAGACCAGGTGCTGGAGCTTAGCCCAGGAGGCTGGAACACAGTATTGGTCCTATGTAGGGAGGCTGCCTTCCCCTCACTATTGAGGCACAGATAAGCCCCAACCAGGTTACGAGGGCTTTGATTAAGCATTTGGCAGTCACCCCATCCCATATTACTCAACAAACTAACAAGCCACACTTCACTCCCATTATTTCTCTATGCTTCTTCCCCCCCTCATTAGCCTGATCTCATCCATGCTATATGAAAATCTTCATAATGAGCAGGTGTGGTTAACAGAATTTCACACCCCTTCCTGTATATCACTTGAAGGCAGCAGTCAACCCACTCACTGCGGAATATATACATTTATAGAACACCTATAGGATCATCTTTGCTTGTCACCTTAAGTGTAAGTCTGAAAAAGGATGCTTAGTAGAATTATAAAACAAATAGTGGTTATGAAAAAAAGCTGAGGCCAGAATATTATTGTTGAAAGAAGGAGAGCAATGTATTATATATTGTGGATGTAAAGAAGAAAATAATTGCAAGGAATCTAATAAAAGACATTACTTAGTTAAGTTTTTAAAAAGCAGGGCTAAATAAGGAGCCAGAGTAAGGGTTATTAAAATAAGCAGGATGAAATTTGGGATGCAATAGAAATGAAAGGGGTGCTGAAAGTATTTTTGAAGTTTGTATGTAAATGACAATCATTTAAAGAATAAAACTGAAATTAATAATGAACAGGAAATCATAAACACTACAGGATTTTTTTTTTAAAAAAATGAAGACTGCAGGTATGGTTGATTCAACTGGACATATACTAAGATAGGGACATGGCTTGCTTGTAAAGTAATTAGGTATCTTTTTTAATCTTTATGTGAAGATTGCAACTGCATATGACAATTAGCAAACAAATCTATTTTTATCCCCCCATATGAAGGAAAAGTTAGCAAGAGTGAACACAAAAACCATAGGAAAAAGTTTGGTGAATGTTCCTGGGAAAGTGTCTCTGACTGAAGGGATACAAATAAGTAAGTGACAATTGGGAAGTTCAAATGTGGGAAAGAATTTGCAGATGAAGTTTTACTTTTCAACCAGCCTTTGAGAAAATATGTATGAATGTTCCAAAGAAAATGTATTATGTATTTGTTGAATTAGAAAAAGTGTAAGATAAAGTTAGTCTTGTGCAAATATGAAGGTTGGTTGCAGTGAAAAAAAGTACTGAATATGACGGAAATTGAATATGAGAACATTTTAAATAGATAATGGAATTTAAGCATTAGAATAACCGAAATGGTTAGCAAACACTTCAATAAGCTATGACATCTACTTAGCAGTTCAATATAGATGAAAATATCTGGAATGCTTGTGCAGATATTACGTGCCTGTTAGTTGGGAATGTAGATGCATATATAATTTTGTATACAGAGATTGCTAAAATGTAAGATGTTGACTAAGAATTCAAATCATCTGCAGCAAGTATTAGATTTTTAATGCAAAGGCTTGCATATGGAGCGAACATTTGCAAGTTATATACCCTTCAGCACTAGTGAATTTATGTACCTCGGTAGACTGTTTTCTACCAAGAAAAAAAGATGGAGAAATGTTAAAATGAGCAAATGCTGATTAATCCTGAATTCATGTGGTTTTAATACAGTAGTGAGGAACCAGTAAAAGTCTGCGGAGACGGTTTCTCCTATCTTGCGTTTTCATTTCTTTGGGTCACTATGCGTTCCATTGCTTGCTCTGAAAAGCAACAGCACGAATCGGTCTATATATAAATATGGCTTCTGTGAAGGATTCTTTTCCTGAGACCTCTGTGAACTCCATTAGGCCACACGGCACAATACTCATTTTTAAAAGTTGGAGCGGCGAATGACAACCCTAACCAATGGGGGAAGGCGGCTATTAGCACGAAAGGGCTTTTGCGCGGCCAGCTTGCATTGGCGAATTCGCGGCTCGAGAGAGAGAGGAACCAGGGACGCGCGAGCCTCCCCCGGGATCGAAGAGGCCTCTGGGATCGCGCCGAGGTCCCCGCGCCCGAAACTTCTCCCCGGTGAGGCCTCGAGAGCCCAGAAGAGGTCCCCCTCGGCTTGGGAGCGCCGCCATCTCTTGCGACTCCGGAGCAAAGGAGGGGCGGAGGGTTGCTACGTGATTCTTTTGTCGATGAAGCGCCGTTTCAGCGCCGCTATCACAACTCCCGTCCGTTCGGCATCCGTTACCAGCCTCAGGCGCCCCCCGCGCCCAGGGTTAGGGCGGGAAGGGCCTGGCGACGGGCGGCTTGCTGCACCGGGAGGCTCTGACAGCAGCCTCTCCACACCTGCTGCTGTTGAAGCCAAGGACGGCTCGCCGCTTGCTCCTGCCTTGCCCTGTCCGGCCTGGCGGAGGCGCGCGGCTATGGGAACCCGCGCGCCGTGACAGAAGACCCAGGCTGGCGCCGGACCCTCGACGGGAATGTGCAAGCCCAGCCGGCCCACCAATGGCTCTCGGGGACGATGCGGTGGCGGTAGGCGCCGCCGCGAAGTGCGAGCCTCCTGAATGCCTGCAGGGAGTCCTTGCAGCGGGCATCTCGAGGGCTTGGGCGGCCAGCGCTGGCTGTGGTCTACCGATGCTCTCGCCGCTGCCGCCACCCCCGCCATGCCCTGATCGGAGGAGTACCGAGCCCGGCCCGGCCGCCAGAGGATCCCTCTTTAAGGCTGTCATGCTTCTTGGCGTGCTTTTAGTCCTTTGCCAGCGGGTCCAGGCGGAGCGAGGTAAGAAACGCGCCTGCAGAGCCGGGTCTGTAAATCAACGAGCGGGAGGCGGGAAGCAAGTCTTCAGTGATGGATAGCTCAGTGGTTGGTGATGGTTGTTTGGCTGCAAGCCGCTAGATGCAGTTATTATTGTCCGAGCACTTCCTCGTCTCGGAATATGCTGCCATTGTCTACTGAGTAACGGGATTTGAAGGAAGCTTTGCGCTGGTTTGTAAGGATGGTCGGCTATCTGCTATCAGATGTTCCCTTTTTAAATCATGGAAGGAGTCCTTTCCATGTAGCGCATAGGGGCCATGTTCTTCCATTTCCCGTCTTGCCGCCGTTACCTTCGCAGAAGTTAACCCCTGCCTACAGAATAGCTGCACTTTATTGCAAGATCCAAACCCTTATTTGTGTGGCCGTGGAGTACGTGCTTGGTTTTGGGAATGCTCCCGAAGGCTTTGAATATTTTAAAATCACATAGATTGGTGACCCTCTCTCTCTCTCTCTTTCTCTTTATGCATAACGTGACGTTACTTTTCAATAGGCGTTGGGGTTTGTGTTTGTAAAGTTACCGACGGTGTAAGGAGTGCTCTGCGATCTCTCCTTCTAGTTCTCTTCCTTACATGTTTTATTTTGCAGAGAAAAAGGCTGAAAGAGAAGATTGCAATTTTACTTGAATTTGTTTCTGTAATTTGTTTTGTCAAAAGGGAGAAAGATCCCTCTGTGTTTATTATTTTTGAAAACCATTCCTACGCAGTTTTGTGTTTTTAAAGTAATAACAACGCAGATATTCAAATCAGATGAATCACTGTATATAATCACAGACTTTATAAATATGCTTGGGTGACACAATTGCCATGAAATATTTCTGCAAAATATTCATTGACTATGGTTGTTGCAGCTCCCAAACTGGAATCTGTAACACTAAGATAAGGACTTAAAACTATTGGAGTGTATAATTTTTAAAATAAATTTTAGTCCAGTTAAAAGACACTAAGTTTTGGAAGTGTTAAACTTCAGTTTCAAGAGCACCTAATCATGCTTAAGATGGACTGCTGTTGAAAAGAACTACTAAAAAAGTATTGGAACTAGCTTCAGTGGAATTAAATTTTATTCAAATCACTGTTATTAGTAATAATGCGTTCTTATTTTTTCCCTAGTGTTTTGCAAATTCTTCACTTTTTCACCTCTGTATTTCTAACAGAGGTTATAAGGAATTACAGAGAATTAGAAATTGTTGCTGAAGTTTGTGAATTTCTTTTCTTTTGTGATTTTATTAATTGACATTCCTTGTTCTAACAGACCATTGATATCTTTTGGATGTGGTAGATGTTTTTGTACATTGACTGACAGTTCCCTATTTCAAGTTCACAGGACCATTTTGTGGCATGGCTTCCTTTGATTGTTTTGCTCATTGCCTCTTCCATGTAATGACATAGATTCACATTCAAGTTAAGTCAGAGAAAACTAACTCTACTTGAATCAGACAAAAATCACTGAGACATGCCATTGTTCATAGTAGTTCCATTTTAATTTCTTGCTCTTATTCTCTTAGAGTACAGGACTTTATTTTTCTTAGGATGCTATTTAATTAGCATACAGCTAGTTATAAGAATTTCTAAAGAAAATCCGTAATGAAATTCAAACATCATATTATTATGTTACTTTCAACATCATTGATCTAAATATTGGGTAGAAGATTTTCTCCAAATTATGTGCTTATTTTTAGATCCAGTAATTTTCTACTTAATGAAAAATGTTTTGGTTCATAAATACAGTTATATTTATATAAACCTGTTTGTATAATATATGAAAAGTAAACTTGCATTAGTTTGAATCAATAATTCTTCTTTGTGTGCAATATCCAATAGTCTTGTAAAGACAGAAGAGCTCCAGAATTAGCTGTTACCTGGCTGGTATATAGTTAGTTTTAATAATATAATGGAATTGTGCAGATTGTTTCCTGGGTCAGAGATAAGATAAAGTATGTTAGAGTTTGCATGAAAAAATAGATATTGATTCCAGCTATTTTGGTATAACTATATCATACTCTGCATAGTTACATGTGTGAAACCTCTGAGAATTATTGTTTAGATCTAGTAGCATCATATGTGCATTTCTGTGATAGAGGAGCAGATACATATGGCGACTATGAGTTCCTTTTCTGTTCTCTCTCCCCCTTCCTCTCTCCCCCCCCTCTCGTATATAGATTATTTTCTACAATTTTCACTCTGTACTTACTCATGATTTCATATGAGAGATATAGAAATTAAAACTTGTTTAAGTATAAGTAATAACCATACTTTTAAAAAGGTTGCATATACCTTAGTAGAAAATTCCAAAATATGAATGAAATAGACAGAAATAAATGTATGTGTTGTATATTGCATAACATTTTCTATCTTTATAATAATGAAATGTCTTTACCTGGAAATACAGGTGAATATTGTGTGGCTATTTGAATTATTCTAAATATTTAAACTATATTATATTTAATAGTACTGGAAAACTGGTTTTATCAGATATTATTTCTATAAAGGACATAACATCATTCTGCATTTTCTTAGCCTTCTTTAATTTACTTTTGCTGTTGTTCAGTCACTATGTCATGTATGCTTCTTTGCGACCCCATGAACCAGGGCCCTCTTTGCTCCACTGCGTCCCAAAGTTGGTCCAAATTTATGTTCATTGTGTTGATGATATTATTTAACCAGTTCGTCCTCTGCTGTCCTCTTCTCCTTTTGCCTTCAATCTTTCCCAACTTTAGGGTCTTTTCCAATGAGTTCTCTCTTCTAATTTGGTAGCCAAAGTATTTCAGCTTCAGCTTCAGTATCTGTCCTTCCAAAGGACAGTAAGGATTGATCTTTAATTTTAAATGTTCCTTTTTTTACTATGTTCTTTTCAACTATTATTTTCCCTGTATACACTACACAATCAAATAAAATAATATTATATTATAACTTTATAATAATAAATAAATTTTTCTACCTCTTTTTAATAGTTTTCTCTTGTCTGCATTGTTTTTTTCAACCATAATTACTTTCACTTCGTCATTTCATCAAACATCATTGGTTTATGCATATTATAAAATCAGTGTAGGCTGCCTCCCTGCCCCTATGTCTGTCTGTCTGTCTGTCTGTCTGTCTATCTATCTATCTATCTATCTATCTATCTATCTATCTATCTATCTATCTATCAATCAATCAATCAATCATCTATTTTAAAAGCTGCCCATCTGCCCAGGATTCTGGGCAGTTTACAATAAAAGTAGATAAAACACATGCAGTAAAGAAAATAAGAACACGTGGCAGCCAAGAGTCATAAAACAACTATTAACATGACCAGGAGATGGGCTTTATTACATTCCTAGGAGCCTTGGCTGGGGCACCAAGCCAAGGTTTCAATGTCTTAAGGAAGGCCAGCAGGGTCAGAATCTTCCAAAGTGTGATCTTCCAAAGGACAGGCGTCGTGGCAGAAAGAGCTCTCCTTTTGCACTCTTATCAGCTGACACTTTTTAACGAACAATATCCATAGCACTCCCATCCTGCTGGATTGGATAAGATTGTAGAAACAGATGGGGAAGAAACCACGTAAATAATCTGGTCCCAAACCATGAAGGACTTTAAAGGTGACTACCAGCTATTTCTCCTCTTGTATGCAATTTCTTTACTTTATATTACTGCTAAGGATCATTTTTCATGCTTTCCATTAGTGTAACTTCACATACATAGTGGTATTCTGAACAAAATTCTGTTCTAAGTAGACTTCATCTCTTCCTATATAAGGAACTTACTTAACAATGGTAATTGGGGATAGCAACTCTGTCACTAAGCAATGCAGTCAACACCACATGACATTATTAATTGATCAGGGTGGTTATAGCAGTCCTGATTGTTGTCGTTATTAGGCGACTACTGTATGGTTGCAGGGGTCATGTGATGCAGTCTCACAGTCATGTGATCGTTGAACCTTCTTCAGGCTTCCCCTTTGATTTTACTTGTTGCAGTGAAGATCACGAATGGTAAAGATGTGACGGTGGAAAGCTTCAATGTCATAATTGCAAGCTGATTGCCAAGCACAGACTCTGAGATGGCCACAACTATGAGAATCTGTTATATGCTTCCCTCGTTCACTGTTATAACTTTGAATTGTTGCTGAATGAGTGGTAATTCAATGAGGACTACCTATATTCACATTCTGTTCATTTTGTTTGGCGATTAATCTGTTTTATAGTTTTTCATATGGGAGTCATCCTTTCTCTTCCTGCGATTGTTCTACATTCTCTATGGCATTTTTCACTTCTTTTCTGTCACATCCATTCCCCCTCCCCCCCAAATTGACGATGTTACTAAAATGTCCCTTTACCTTCATAAATCCAGGATTATACAGAGTGTAAGCGAGGGCCTCACATGACTGCAAAATGGGTAGACATGGGAATCCTAGGCAAAATACTTCTGTAACCACCTGTGATATACTGTATAAAATGTATGGAATTCAGATTTATTTTCTTCCCAAAATAATATACCTTTCAAAATGATAGTCAATGATTTATGCTTATCTGCCTAAGTGGGCCAAGTCCTTTGTTTCTGTAGAAAAGAACTTCTTTCTGGTTGAAGGAAATAAAAATGATAAATACATTCAACTGAATAGTCTCTTCCTGAGCCTTAATTGTCTACACTTCTCTATGGATTGTTACTGGTAATAAACATTTGTTTTTGTTTCAGTGCAAATATAGACTTGGGGAGAACCTTGAATTGTATCCAATGATATCATTCTGCCAGCAAGCTGAACTGTGCCAGCAGATGAATTTCCCTTCCAATCTGCTTCAGGGGATCTGGGGACCCTCTAAAGCAGTTTTCAAGGACACATAAATGAGGAGAGGAAGGAATACTGTTATTGCTTGAAGTTTGTTGTGTAATATTGCATTGGCATTCTATTTGAGCTTCTCTTTTATCCAAAACTCCAACTTTGTTTTCACAAAGGTCTTTTTAAACCTATTAGTTCATTGTCCTTTGTTG